AATCACATACAACTCTCACTCTCACAAAGATGAACACATGCATGACTTCACCCATAGGTTTCCCTTATTTTCCGATCAACATTCATTTCAGCTCACTCAAGATCAAAAAGGTGTTTTCAAGGCTTGTAACGGGGCTGAGTGTAAAGGTATGGTCATTTAGGCTCAGGGTTGTTATCCTCATGAAATGTTGTATGAACATCACTTTCCTTCCTTTTCTTCAGCATTTTCATTCATGCTCAAAATTCACCCCATTATTCACTTCCATGGAATACCGGACACCCCATTTCTTTTGCAACTTTCACAACTTTATTTCACGACTTTTTCACTCTTCTTCTTTTTGCTTCTTTATTTTATTTTATTTTTATATGGAGGGGTTCCCTGTTTTTTAAGTTCATGGATCAAAGTGGGGACTTCTTTGTACTTTTTTATTTACCTTCCCTTTTCACCATAACCCCAACTTAGGCTTTTGGCCTAAGTTGGCTATTCAAACACACCACACTTCATGAGGATTATGGGTGAATGGATGAAGAGGGGTTACAATTTCATCATGTTTATTCTAAGAAAAGGATAATGCTCAAAAGGGTTCAAGAAAAGTTCACACGTCTCACAAGGTTGGCCACAAAAAAGGTATATTGTCAAATTGTTTCACTCTTCAAAATTGTTGCCTAAGATCATATCAAGAGCTTGCATCACTTAGTCAACCGGACCAACGGGGCAAATTCTAGGTGTCATCACGAAAGGTTCACGGTAAGCTCATCACACAAGGCATTGGCACCAATATCAAAACGAGACTCTACACTTTTGCTAGTGTGCAATGTTCATCACAAGAGACTCATTCGATAATCGGCTAGTCACAACGATATGCAAAAATTCCACATATTGCCTATGCAACTTCATTTTGGCCTCATCGTAACCGCACATTTATTTTTGTTCGATTAAGAGCACTATTCAAGTCATCGGTATTGATCATAACCGATACTCAAATTTGCACAAGACTAGTCAAATTCAAACACAACAAGAGTGGTAAAAAAAATTCAGAAGGGATCAAAAATCATTTTCATTCATAACAAGGAGCCACAAGCTCAAAGAGCCACAAGGAAAAATCAAAACACAATGTAAAACACTAAAAACCCAAAAATATATACACAAGATAGTCACAAGAGTTAGGTATGGAAATACCTCACCTGGAACTTTAGGTGATCTGATGAGCCACTCGGCGACACACCGAGTGCTCTTGGAGATCCTCAAACTCACCCTTCTTCATTTCTTCAGCTTGTTTGTTCCTTTTTTCCTGTTAGTATCCTTGCTTCGTTCCTCAATCCATATACCTGAAAATTAAGGATTTAACATCAGTTATTGTCACAAAATAAAAAATTGAGGACGCTAAATTTATATTAACAAAGCCCTAAATAAGTTTAAATCTTGGGTTCAGCAGACCCTTACCACATGAGGGCTTGATAAAAAAAAAGAGAATGGTGGAATAATCTTAAAGAAGAAAAGTTGTGAAAAAAAAGAAAGAAAGTGAACAAATGAGACTTGAATCCTCCAAAAGTTGAAAATGGTTGCATGTGGGGCATCTAGAGTGGAAATAAGAGAAGAAAAAATAAAAAATAATGTGACGTGTGCATTGGTTTGAAGAGGTGGAAAAATTAGAAATGATGAGTTTTTGTGCAGTATTCAAGGAGGGTGTAGTCACTTATACCTAAATGACATCCTAATGTTCCATAAACCTACATTACAATCTTAACAAATTCCTTTGAGATCTCCAACCAAATGAAGTTGAGTCAATATTGATTAAAAATATGGGCAAGCCTATGGTGTGGCATTTGTGTTCATGAGATTTTTCCTTGGGAGTGTGAGTGATTGATGTTTTTTCCCCTTGTCTTTTAAATACTTGTGAGTACAGTTTTGGGACATGATCTTTCTTGTGAGGGGATGAAATCTAGGATAGATCGGTGAAGTTGATAGATTCTGAAATTGAGTCAAGGGAAGTTATTTAGTTAACTAGTAGTTGAAAGTCATTTCTTGAGAATTACTGTTGCCACTTGTTCATTCTTGAAAATACATTGAGTTTTGAAATTGTGCTTGAACTTGAGGGGGTTGTTTAAATTGATAATCACTTGCTTGATTGCTAATTATTAGTTCCAACCAAAGCCATGACCATGAACCTTAGTTGAAATAGAAGGGTGTTGTGCTTAATCGAGTGTCTCTTGTGTTTTTGATTTTGTTTTGCTCGAGGACAAGCAAAGTTTTTAATTGTGTGTATTAATTTGGGGATTTTGTGCTAGAAATAGACAAAGCTATTTGGGTTTTTGATTTATTGCTCTATTACTTTTGTAATTCCTTGATTCCATGCTTGAATTCATGAAATGGGTTTAATCTAGTTTTCATGTTTGAATTTATGATTTGAGAGTGCATGCTCAGATCTAGCTTCCGATCATTGTGCGTTGCTCGAAAGAGAACTTGTGAAGTGGATAATTAGGTTAATAATCATATTTAGCTTTGAGTCTTAAATTTGAAACCAAAAGGACATAATAAAGGTCTACTTTGTTGAATGCTAAACTTTCTAGAAATAGGGGTTAAGATTAAGGTCTTGGATTACTTTGTAGTTGACTCGATTGAGACAAAAAGGAGATAACGTGATATAACCCTTTGAGACCAAAAAGAGATTGAGGTTGATTGATGATGATCTAGTGTATCTATGATTGAATAAGCATGTGTTGAATTTTAATGGAATATTGAGTGTTTATTGAATTTAGAATTTTCTAATTTCCATACATCCCTTGCTTGATATCGTCTTTGCCCAAAACCATCGTTTGGTTGTCAAAATAACTCTTAATTTGAAAACCTTGTATCTTGTGTTTAGATTAAAACTTGTAGCTATTCATTCTTTATCTTTTCAATTGCCGATAAATTGTTCTATGTGGGATTCAACCCCGACTCTTAGTTGAGTACTTTTATTGACGACAACTGCTTACTCTTCAAACTTGTTTTTAAGGTAAGTTGAGCGTTATCACGACCTGCATTGAAGTAGGCTATGACTTATCGCTCTTTAGATTGAGCTTGTGAATGTAAATTCCTATTGATTAGCTTGAATTGGGGTGGATTTGTAGTTGATTCATGTTTAGTTTCTAGAATTCATGTCTTAACCTCATTTTTCGGGTAGTTTTGCATAAATTGAGCATCAATTACATTGTTATCGTGATTGCATCATTCCCTGTACTATGTCAGTGGTCGACTAGGTTGTTACTAGTTGTAGTTATTGGGCTTAGCCTAGGTGTAGGCTAGTGATTTTCTTAGGCTTGTTCTTTGGATCTGATAAGCCTTAAAAATTCTCCAATGCCACCTCATATGACTCAACTTCCTAAAGTCTGATAAAACAGACTCGGGTCTGATAATATGATTCTTAGCTAAGTGAAAACTAGGTTCATATGACATCTTATCCATAATTTCCCTTATTTTTTGGATCGGACGCGTTCGTCAGTGATTTTGTGCATTATTTAGTTGTTTAGGGTCGAGTCTTCGATTTGGAGCTGGAATGGGTAGTTGGTGACTTTGAAGATTGTTTCTCTCTACGGCATGGACCGATTTGAGAAAGATCGAGTGATTTTGGAGCATTTAGAGACTTTAGCCACGGTTCAAGGCCGTGGCATACCTTTTATTAGTTGGGGTCGAGGCACTGGCATACATCCTTAGTCACAGTTTTAGGCCTTGACATATCGCTTTTAGCCTCGGTTCGAATTCGGACACACTTCTATCAGTCGGGTTCGAGTTCTGACTTGGTGACTCTATTGGGTTTTTTCGATGCCTTACCATGGTTTGAGACTGTGGATGGTTGTGGCATTTATGGAAAACTCTTAAACTTAGCTAGTAGTTTCCTTAGTTATTTTGTGTATCCATCAGGCTTCTGGGGGTCCATTTGGATTAATTACTTTCAATTGTGCACGAGTGTACCTTATGTGCTTATGTGGTCCAGTTAGGTTATAATTAAATGTTTGCTTTACTATTCGTTCTTTCCTTGACTCGTGTGCATTCATGTTAGTTTATCATTATAGGTCCACTCATTTGACCTCTAGTTGGTATCATTTCTCACTTTTCACTACTGTTTTTACTTTCCAAGCTCAGTCGTCCTATGATTCCTACTGGGCACCTGATGTTTTAGTACTCATACTTTACTCTGTATTTATTTTCATAATGCAGGTCCGAGCACCTGTCACCAGCATTGATTTCAAGCCTGTTGTAGAGACTAAGGGTGAGCTTATGAAATCCTAGATTAGTCTGTCTCCTTCTGTTTATAGGTTGTTGACTAGTCTTTTGTATTTGAAACAAGTCTATATTTTTTGTTCACTTTTGGGACTTGTACTATTTTAATAGCTATGTACTTGTGACTACCAGATTTTGGGACTGTATTTCTCTTTTTGAGTGTATTTATCTTATGTTGTTCTTATTTTCCGCTATATTCATTAAATTGTTTAAGTTATTTCTTGTTGATTGTTGTTTCTACCCAATATGTCTGTTACTTGTCGTTCCACAATATGGGTTGTCTTACCTACTGGTGAGTTATGGTAGGTGTCATCATGAATCGGGGTTTCGGGTCATAACACTAAAATAGTCCACAACCAAGCAAAATGGAAGAATTTCCAAAGTTGATAACCGTCTTTTGATGATAATGTATAACTCAAAATTAACGATGGAGAGAGGTGTAATAACTTTTACTTTGTGAAAGTAACTTATAGCTTCTGCCACGTACCACTAATTCACTGGAAAACCAACTGTGCAAACCACGAAAGAGAAGGACCACATGAAACACAAAGAAATCTATGTTAAGAGATGAGTTCAATATATAGAATAATTTTTGTGAAACACGTAAGTTCTAATAATCAAACCCTAAGTTGGTTTTGAGAGAAAATGACTTTTGAATATGAAATATATCGATATCAATTTATTCCACCGACTTGGGCCCACTTGACCTTGATGCTTGCGCAGTGTGTACAAAAATGTGGATATCTCTCTATTTTGAAGTCGTATTGATAAATGTTTTAATGCGTTGAAAACTAAATTCATAGACCTTTCATTTTATAGGTTATAAACCCTCTAAATCTTTATTTATTGAGAAATATGGTCATCCAAAGTCAAACCACATACGAGACCACTTGAAATACTTCCTCGAAATAAAATTTTCAAATAGATTTTTTGTTACGAAGCTCCCTTTGGCCAAAAACTGTTAATTTAATTATTTAATCACCTACATATATCTATTTCATGGTATGATCACTCATTTGGAAGTTTATTCTCACTACAACTCATCAATGAACAAGGTAAGGTAAAAAACTATAGGATAATTTTTGGTGTATATGTCTTCCGCTTAGTGAGTTAGTTATCTTAAAATATATTGGGGGTTACATATTCACTAATTATTATTTCACTAATGTGATTTGTAGAGGTGTGCCAAAATCGAACTGATCGATAAATCAAACCGAAAAAAAGTGTTATTGGTTTATTGCTATTGGGTTATTAGGTAAACAGTTTATTAATGGATTTATTAAAAAAATTATCGGGTTATTTGTTCAGTTTTGGTTTTCTAATATTGAATTATTTAGTAAACCAATAACCCATTAAGATTATAGTAATTTACTATTTTACCGGTACAAAAATAGTAAATATTAATATCAATACCTTACTAGTTACTGCCTTTGCCCTTTAGCCTTCAATTTGCACTTTACAATAACTTTGAGTTCACAACTTCACATTATAAAAAATATCAAAACCTAAAGTAAGAACCATATTCCTCTTGTCGCGTCAAATTGTTGGAGGAGTCATACAAATATATCATAAGAAATTTCTTATTAGTTAAACTGAAAATCAAACCGTTAAGGATCAAAACCGATAAACCGATAAAAAATATCTAATCGGATTGGCTATTGATTTATCATACTTGTAAACCAAAAATCGATAAAACGAATCGATAATAGATAAAACTGAACTGAAGCGATCGATACACACCCCTAGTTATTTGTCATCATCAAATCTATTAAGAATATATTGAATCATAATATAGTTTCACATTTTAATAGATCAAAATAATAAATCAAACTACATAGATTATAATAATTATATCAAAATTAAAAGTACAAATACATGTAATTGACTAGAGAAATTATTTATTAATATTCATAATATAAACGAACATCTCTACTTGATCCGTTCAGTACATACGAAACGTACTAGTGCAAGAAATTGAAATATTACCATTCTCATAATTAATATCAAATTATATTTAATCTTATGCTATAGTTATTTATTTTGAACATTTATTTGTAATTTTGCATGAGTTAATTAACACTCCATATACAAAATGGTCTACGATATATGTAAAAGTCAAACATATTAACACAATGATCTATTCATATATAAACTTTATTATACAAAGTAAAACAAAATAAAAAGTGTTAGTAGGGATTAAAATGTAATACTATAACTTACCCTCATGGCTAATAGCATACTCCAACAGTTTTATTTCTTCGGGTGTGTTTGTAGGAAGGAAAATATTTTCTGAGAGATTTTTTTTCAGAAACCTAAATGGATTAATTGCTTAATTATGTTCTTGTGTTTTATAAATATATAAATAATATTATTTTAAAAGTATTTGTATATAATGTACAGAAACATTATGGAATTGGTGGGTGTGGGCGTAGGGCTGTGAGGTGTGGATTATGAACCTGTGGGGGTGAGGTAAAGATAAGATGTGTTTGGATGTTACTGAGGATAACAATCAAGATGAAATACCATTTATGGCACCTTTTTTTCCACATAAACGTCATTTTTACCATTTTAAAGAAATTTATGTTTCAAAAGAAAATGTTTTTCTACAAGATTTGACCAGCCGACAATGAGAAAATTTGAAAACAATGTCTCATAAATATTTTCTTTCTCTCTTTCTATTTGTCACACCCTTTCTCTTTTTCTATCTTTTTTTTTTTTGAGTGGTTAATTAGTTTAGCTACACACACTTACTTTTTCAATTTCTCTGATAAAGAAATGCAAAAGTAACATCCAGAACCTAATAATTATGTGTTATTATTTTTACATATCCTTCTAAATTTAATCCTAGCCATTTCTTCTTAAACAGCTTCATCTCCAACTTTTGCCTGATTTGAAGACTTTGATATTTCTTTTTGATCAACAAATTTAGATTGAACAGCCTCTTCACTACTCAATGATTTTGATGATTGTTGGTCCTTGCTCTTGCCCCCAGTGGCAGAGTCAGGATTTTCAATAAGAGGGTTCAAAATATGAAAAAATAGACACACGAAGTAACCGAAGGGGGTTCGACATCTACTATATATACCTAAAAATTATTTTAAGCATGTATAAGGCATATAATTTTCCGCCAAAGGGGGTTCGGATGAACCCCCTAATTGTAAGGTGGCTCCGCCACTGCTTGCCCCATATTACTAAATATAGTCCAATTACAATGATTGCCCCTCCCAAAACTCTACATTAAACGGGCACAAGATTAGACATCCTATTTTGCACTCAATCATGTATTATAAGAGTTTGTTTGACTCGACACGAAATTTAATAAAGATATGTGCATTCTGGGAAAGTAAGTCGTATAAACTAGGAGAAAAAGAGTATGGAATATACCTTCCCAAGTTTAGCTCCTCGGATAAAATGAATGAACCCAAAATTGCGACTATAACCATATTTAGAGGATTAAATGCAGTAACAAAAACAGGTCCTTTTTCCTTCATTATCAATCCAGAGACATAATAGCCAACTCCAGAAGTGACCATCCCCTGCATCCATAAAATAATTTATTCTCTCCAACTAAATGTCAATACTAGAAAAGGGCGGAACTAAGTGGGGGTATAGGGATTTGGACGAACTCAATAGCCTTTTTATAGATCCTGTAGTTGTATTAGAAAATTAAATAAATATATATGTATATTAACTAGTGAAGCCCTCACAAAACTAATTGATGGCTCAGTGGTGAGGAAGGAGCCATGAAAATGCTTTCCATGCTAGAGTTGCGGTATGTTTTGCAATATTTTTCTTTTCTATCTAAAAATTTAAAACCCCAAACTCTTAATCCCAGCGAATGTGAAAGCTTACAGTATAAACGTAAGATAAGAATGTAGTGTCCCATTGGATGGCCCATATAGAAGTATTGCCCTTTTCAACCACAAGGGTCAGAACAGTGCCTTGCAACGCTCCAGCCCAACATATTAGACAAGTGAGTGATAATGTCGCAGGGTATGTCTTCAACGTAATTGCCTGTTTGTTACACATATAAAATAAGAAAAATAACTATATTACTATATGAAGATAAATAATATTATTTATGGATTGGTTAGTTATAGTGATTCCTAGTTCTAGTTTAATTTGGTTTTTACCTTTATAAATAGGGATGTTACTAGTTATTTTCAATAGACAGAAAATATACAGAAACATATAGAGCTTTTGAGTTTATAAATAAAATATTTTTCTTCAACTTTTTTGTTTTTCGAGAGTCAAACGGTTTAAGTTTGACGGAAATTTTGCGCATGAAATTTTTAATATTTTTTGAAATAAATTTATATCTTTGTAAACTACGTAAAAAGTAATATAAGTCACAATAATTGTTAATTTAAAATGTTTAACAGATCTATGAAAAACTTACAATAAAAAATAGACTAATCATTTAAATCTCAAAATTCGAAAAATATCATATAAAATAAGACGGAAAGAGTAATTTAATTAGAAGAATATAGTATTGGATAGTACCTGAAGATTGTAAAAGCAAGCCCAACAGATACAACCTGCTGCTATAAAAAGAGCACCCTTAATCAGTGGCGGACCCAAGATTTTCGTTCAGTAAGTTCGAAAAATGAAAGTATACATGTGTAAATAAGCCTTTAGAAATGGAAACCTTGAATTCTTTTGGGTTTAAAACCAAACTTTTAACACATTTTTTAAAGTAAAAAAAAAATACAAAAAAACAGAACTGAAAATTAAAAAAAAAAATACTAAAAAAGACTGAAACTGAAAAAGAAAAAAATAAAGTGCTATCACTAGGATTCGATCCAGTGATGTACAACTTAATTTCAAGGGTACTTGTCACTGAACTATCAGTTTCTCTTTGTTATTAAAGGGATTCAAAATATATATATCTACAAAAATACAGAAAATTTACGTTGTATATACCGTGTAATTTTTTGCCGAGGGGGTTCGGGTGAACCCCTGGATACCACGTGGGTCCGCCGCTGCCCTTAATAGGTTGTAAATCAGTAGGAAAAGATGGAATTGAATCGATTATTCAATTTTTTAAATAAAATCGAAAGTTTAATTTTATTTAAATTTATAATTGTACTATATAATTTTTAAAATTTATAAAATAATTGAATAAAATAACTGAATCGTACTGAATATATTTAAAGATATGTTAAAAAATATACAATTTAATTAAAATATAATCTACATTTGAATGAATTGTGGGTGGTAAATTTCATGCACTTGTGTATGTGTATAAAAAATCATATAATATATTATATCTACAAAAGTTAAATTTGAAAGAAGTGAATGAAGTAGAAAATAAATTAAAAATGAGAGACAAGAGAGAGTTGATCTGATGGTAAGCACTCCTCACTTCCAACCTTA